GAGAATCTTCCATGGTGTGAGCTGGGGAGCAGAGCTGTGCTGGCCAAGGGGGCTGTGGCAGCAGAGCCTGAGGCAGGTCAGTGGCTGCTGTTGGTGGAGTGTCAGGGATGGCAAGAGGAGCTTTATAGAGCTGCTGCTGCTGCTGCTGCTGCTGCTGCTTCTGCTGCTGCTGGGGGAGGGGATTTTGGTGTGGCTGCTGTGGGCACAGGGCAGGTGCAGGGATGTAAATGTGCTGGGTATCCGCTTACCTGGTGCCACTCTTGACTATTTGAATGTTGGTTTGAGGGGGCTGTGCTGGGTGACACAAAGAGCGGAGATGTTTTTCTGCGGTGGAGTGTGTTTTGATTTTGATACTGTTTGATCAGTGTCAGGCATCAGGATCTGGATTCCTCTGTCCCTGTTTTGCCTATCATGATCATGCAGAGCCCTGGCTGTGCTCAGCGGGTCAGAGGACTCAGTGTCCTTTTCAGTCTGAGAGTCTGGGTGCGGCAACATTAAGTCCAGATTCTGAAGAAGTGGAGTTATATTGATGCTTTACAGGCACTGAAATCCAGGTTTGTCTGTCCAATGGCATTGCCTTACGGTTACGTTAAGGGGCACATATTGATGCAGGTGATGGGAGCCAAGAGAGTAAAGCTGATATTGCTTACACGTTTAGTTTGGAGCATATGGAGTGAAAGGGGGAAAAACTTGGACAATTCCCTGTGCCAGTGTTCCCATCTCATCTGCTTGGGAAAGTGAAGTCTTTCAAAGACAGCACCATGCAGAGTTTTCCCCACACTGCAGTGCCCTAAAGCTTCCAAATGAATTTAGACCCTGAAAGCTGTGAGGTTTTTCCCAGGCAAGTTGTGTTAAGCTCTATGGGGCATGGACTGCCGGCGCCCTTTGGGGTAGTACAGGACCTGTCCCATTTGGCCTTGCACATTAGGACCACAGCAACCAGGAAAATCTCATCTGATGCTGTGGTGGAGGCAGGAAAAATGAAAGCCCAAGCAAGAGCTCTATGGCTACAGGAAATGAGCCCTGAGCATTTTCTCTCTTCCAAATGATGATAGCCATGTTTTCTGTGGGATAGAACAGCCAGCAGGATGTTAAATGAATATTCATATCACATGCTCCTAATTGCACTGATTTGCCACCATAGAGACTTGGAATGTGACCCAGAGCAGTTTTCCATTCTGTTCCAGCACGGGGCAGCCATTCC